CATATTAATGGGCAATAACCTGTATCTTTGAAATATGCAAAGTTTTCATGGCGACACTAATAAAAGAATTAATAATAACAGTACTTAATAATACATGTATATTCAAACACATTATATTAAAAAAATGTAAAGATTACACGCGTTTACTTTGATTGGGTGGCTTGACCTCCTCGTTGAACCGATCTGAATCAGCTCGATGAGACATTCATAAAATATTTAAAATGTTGGAATATCCTAGCATATTCAGTGGTGGAAACACTGTTCTAGTTTATCGCAGTGTTCTAATTTCTATTAATGAACGCACTTCATTAAATAAATGGGCGTAACTGCCTTTTAACGACCGCCTAATCACTGGTAGATAAATTGTCCGTTTCGACATTTTGATTTCATCCCCTTTAAGTTTACAATAAATTAAGTAGAGTAAATGTTATTACTGTTATTAGCAAAATAATCCGAAATTAAGTTGTCTGCCAATAGGTGAAATGTTTATTTTACTGAATTTATTAATAAAAAATAATGTTTTCCCTAGCCAAGGAGGCGTACAAAATGATGGCCAGTAGGCTTTGTGTGTCAATAAATAAGGGTACTTTCCCTATCGCGGCTACTATCGCTCATTTGCCGCTGCCGTAGTCTGTATTAACTTACATTATTGATGAGCTGTTTCTATGCATGTACGAGTGTACTGAATTACCGCCATTTTAGATTTTTTGTTGACTAGCGTCGGTACTTAGGAAAGAAGTCGATATATACGTTCGTACGGGGCCGTCCGACAAATGACACTTCATTAGACGCTCCAAACCTATAAGCAAACACTAAAGAACGATTTAGACAAAATCAATATTTTTTTTTATTCCACGACACAAAGGACTGCGAGGAACGGAACGTTACAGTCGTTTTCAGATGTCCCTTCCGCACATACAGCTTGTCAAATTTATATATTTCTCCAGATATGTTTTTTATAATGTTTTTCGTTCGCTAAGTTTCTTCAATAGTTTGGAGAGTGAATTTGGCAACACTGGAGGGATTCTCACGAGAAAGCAGTGATTCCACCACAATAAACAAAAATATTCTAAAATTTTGACACCGAATTTCAAATTTTCGCTTAGTTACGTCATAACGCGTGTTCTAATTTTATTTAGGACTTAAATGACGTCAATATGGAAGAAAAAAAATGCGAGTTTCCTATTTTTTAATCTATTTTCACTTGAAATTGATTTAAATCGCGACAGCGTTACCATTCGATTGATAGGAAATTACGTGTTAAAAAATTCACGCAAAATGCTGTTTACATGTCGTTAGTGAAACTAATTAAACCGGGTTTGGAAAGTGGCGGGGTGGGGGGTTGATTTGGCCGGCCTGTACTTAGAGGTAATTTAGAAAACGAGCATTAGACCGATATAAATGTGCCAGGAATAGGAAATATTGGGGCGACACTCTAAATCCTTTTATGTCATTTGCATGGCATTTGAAATTGATTTTCCCGTAAATAATAGCTCTAACATGGCGCTGTGCTGAGGAAATAATAGAATATTGAATATGTAGGTTTGCCGGTCGGACCTACAATCATTAACCAGTTATTACACATACGTGCACAGCACCTGCCGAGGTCATTTCTAAGCTGATCATATTTTTATTGTTAATTGTTCAAATGCAAAAAAAATACCGCCGTTACTGGGAATGCAAATAATTTACCACTTCCTACGCTTCGCACCGCAAATACAGGGTGTTCAATTGGTAATTGCCACACTGATACATACTTACAATTAATATTTTCAGGCCACATACACAGTGTGTTACTTTGAATGGGAAACACTTATTATAAAATTGTTTTCTCAAACTCTATCGTGAAAACTGTTTTGTTAACAAATAAGTATGTAAATTAAAAAAATACAAGCGAGAAAATCGCGTTAAATTGACACCCTGAACTATTTAAATCTCGCTATCTTTGAAATTAAGAACCTTGGATGATATATTTATGAAACACAACGAGTAATATTTATAGGTTGATATTTTTAAACCGATGGAAACAGTGGGTTTTGTTAATAAATTAGAAGAATAGCCAGTATATAATTCTAACGGAAAACATACCGTACACTTTAAAGCTGCTACACCATCAACGACTGTAGTAAAAATAAATTATACGGTTATTATAGTTCGATATTTTGGCGGTTTCCTGGTATAAATAAAATCCGATTTGTTACACATTCGCGATTGACACTATATATTTCTCAAACGCTCTCTCAGTCGCTGAAGATCATTAAGACACAAAAACCTCGTGGTTGAACAACCTTTTCCGAAAGAGCTATTTTTATCGAGATATTTTTACAAACAAAAGTAAGCTATTAATACTTTTTAGCTTCAAGAAATAAATTTTATTTTCTCGCGAACTTGTCCAAAGTATTGACAAAATGAATACTTACATGCGTTAATTTTAATATTTATCAAAAATAATCAGTTACTTGTGAACTAAGTGAATTTTTTATTTTTAATAAAACATATTCCCGAACTTGCAAATATAAAATATTTATGTACGCTAATGATAACTTGAATAAAAAAAATGGATTTTTTAGAGTCCTAGTGCTTCGCCTGGAGTATGATGGGGTATATAGACAACAAAACTATATTTATTCATTGCGATTGTATAGTTAAAAATAATACATTAGTCAAAACTCGCAAACAATGTTAAATAGGGCGACGAAAATAGACTTGGCAAAGTCTGGAATCGTCGATTCTGGTGTCTTCTTATAAATTGTAGGCCCCTTACTATTGGTTTGCGTCCGTCTGTTCTGGCTTCCTTATTTACTTTATAATTCACTCAAAGGATTTAAAAATGCCTGGTACGAATAAATATTTTGGAATACATTTATTTATCAAATTATATGTAACACCACACAATATTATCCAATATATTTACACTGCCAGTAAAACACTAAATATTTTCAACAGCTCCTGAGATTTTTATTACTCATCCTCTGTAAAAAAAAACTGGACCCTACGTCACTGCCAGTTCAAATTACAGCTGGTCAGGAAAAGATTAAATATCGTAGATTAAACACGTGAAAATATTAACCCGACTTCCGTGTATATAAAACGTCGCTTAGGCAAAAACGTATATATCAAAGCGGAATCACCGACATAAAATAACAATAAAACAAACCAGACTCTATTCATAAAAATTTCAATATAGCAGTGATTGTCCACATTAACATTGGTCGGCCGCTTTAGTGGAAAAATTAGGCATTTTTAATAACATACAGAGCGTTTTGCTACATTGTAATCGTATAACAACAAATACTATTTTTTTTTTTTTTGAAAAATACTCTGCGAAAAAATAATATATAAAAACGTTTTGTTTCATATTAAACTATCTTTACGCGTCTTTCTTTTCCTCAGAAAAAAGTTGTAGGTATACGTCTTTCGAATGTGTCTTTGGTAGATTTTTAAGCTATGAGCAAATCATCCGAAATTGTTTTTTTTCCTGTATATTGATAAAAGAATAGTTGCGATGAAGTTGAAGGTTGAGGAATATCGTTAGCACTGCAAAATTAACACAATTTTCCGATTTAATTGTAACATTCTCACCTACTATTAAGGACTTGTAACATACGAGTATATGCTTGATCGAAACCAACAAATTTTACCCACAAAAACCGTTACGGCAATATAGTTTCAATCCAGCATATAAGTACGTATTTTTAGATAGTTTGATGTGACCTGACTTATTAGGACACTTTACCACGTACTATTTCCGCAAGAAAACAGTGAACACAAAAGGTTGGTGCAATTTTCAACCCCGTATATAATAAATGGTACTTGCTTTGGGTAAATTAAATAAAGTAATGCGTTCGTCTTTCACTTACCCCCGGCTAAAAGCTACCCTAACGCATTAAACCCGTTTAGAGGGGTGAGAGGACTTATATTCCCATGACTATGAAGGGCAATGCTTCTGTCTACTAATAGTTTTTTTGCAATGATCTCATTCAATTCAATAGATGCGTTTTTGGTTAATTTGCAGAAATAATAAGTAGGTACTTACAAACATCTGCAAAATTTGAATGAACACCCTATATATTAAATTAATGGGTTAAATTAGTTGGTTTATATAATAATAATGAAAAACAAGTTCATAATTTTTTTCGAGCTTACTGTGAGTTCAAAGTCCTGATTTTTTTAATAGTCTGTCTGGGATATCTTTCAAAATCTGTGTAAGAAACGGGCGATTGTGTTAGACTAGAATCTGGAAAGAAAAGGACGACAGATAAAGATAAAATAACTCGTGTAATGTGTCTGCTGAAAAGACGATCGAGTTTCATCTTTGAGCCCGCTGTCGCAACACACACATGCCACATTTTCAGATGTTGCCAAGTACGCAACAGAAAAACAATTTTAAATAATACAAGTATTTTTAAATAACGAACTAGCCAATGAGCTTTAGTTTGTCACCCACCATGTCTGCTTTGACAAATGTCGGGCTTACAGAAAATAACTCGGTAAAAATAGCACGCGGTCGATCATTTTCGATTTTAATAAATGGACTGGGGGGTTCACTATTGCACCACCTTTTTCTCACTTTGTGTTTCGAATATCAAACCCTTTATTAGACCATCAGGCGAAAATATATGGTTCGACGCTGACAACCAAAACAAAACAATGTACAACTTTTTTTTGGAAACGATTAAATGTTTTTAATACTATCTAAATTATCTTAATTGAACTTCATGTTTGATTCGGTGTCACCAACACTTCTATTTTTCAAAATAAATGTACATCTTACTCAAAAACCAAATCGATAACGAAAATCAATTTATCATTTCATCTAGAGTGCACCTTTGCTTTTCCCCTGATGGCCTACTTAGGGAAATCACCCTGTAATACGTTTTCAATTTTGATTTGGTCATTTTAGTGCATCAGAGGTGTTTTTGGTATTTCTTCTGGTGTTGCTTGCCGTGCTGAAGCCACTTTCTTCCATAAAAAAAATAACTAAATCCGTTCATTTCCAGGGTACCACCCGGCTACGTATACCAATCACCTTATTTGGCAGCTACGGCACCCGGCAGTTTGGTACCGCTCCAAGCGACGCAGCTGACGCACGCCGCAGCCGTTGCGGCCGCAGCTACGTCGCAGTTCTACGAATACCAGAACGCGGTAGCTGCAGCTGCGGCTGCGCCCTACACGGGACAGTACACGAATGGATTTGACGCTTATACGCCTTACACTGGAGCTGCAGGTAATTTTCTTTTAACTTGATAGAAGTACTGCAATATTTAACAACCGCTAATTTGAAGCAATACACTCAGAAAAAGTTTTTTTATAAGTACAAAAATGATTGATATACATATAATCTTTATTTTGATTCAACGTGCCCTTTATTTGAAATAAATTACCTTCATACAAGTTGTAGTGTGCCACCAAATCGATTAGTAGCTGGTGATTTGTTTAGTTATAAAGTGTATTAATTTATTATTAATGCAAAATTGATTTATTTCCACTTCGTGTGAAACCTGGGCGAAACAGTATTTATTAAAACATTAATGGAATATAATTTATGACGAATTAGTGGAATCATAAAATTGAGTTAAACAAGTCGGTAAACTTAAATTACTAAGTTAAAAAAAATGATTTTCTGATTGTAATCGAACCTAATTTCGGTCTGTTACATATTATCGACATCCTAGGTATTTATAAATGTAAATTCACCCTCACATTTTCCACATAATTCAATTGTCTTTTGTATGGTAAATCTACTACTTAGAATAAAACTTACTCGCGACGTGAACGGACTATTAATAAATATCATAGTGAAATATTTCATATTTATTAATAAAAACCAATACTCCAACAGTATCAACCTTGTTATATATATATTAATATTTTTTATGTGTAAGGAAATCGGAAATAACGTTAAGCATAACATTTTAGGTGCTGCCAGTTATATGCCGTATGCGTATGCTGCTCTTCCTCAGACCCCTGGCCTGCCTGCTGCAGCAACGACAGGAGCTTTTCCTGGCATCCCCTACCAAACTGCAGCGCAAGCCCAAAGTCTACAAGAAGCGCGATTGCAATAAATCCCGTGCTCTGAATTGTCTTGACCTTAAGTGATTGATAATATTTAAAATTAGTGAGACACGTTAGATTTTTAAAATATTTGATAACTCTATTATGGATCTCAGAACATCTCAGAACATTCAAATAGAAAAGACAATTTCTTTTACATTTTTTTTATTACTCTTTTTAATGTAAAACATCTCGAATGAACAAACGACAATTTTCTTTTCTAAATTTCTATTGTGGACTGATGACATCAATATACAGGGTGTGCAATAAATTATCGATTCTTATTTACTTAGAAAAAATCTGAGATATTCTGCATTTCTCTGAATGAAGTTTGAAAAATGGTTATTCTGTTGGAAAAGTATATAAAGATAAGTGGAAATTATATACTCTCATTATATAAGAATTCTTTTTCAAACTTTACAAACTACTTTGTATTAGTGGATCTGCTATTTAATCTAAAAGGTAGATATTATGTTATAGTAAATATATTAATTTATTATTAGTGAATTAATTCCAATAATTAGTTACCAATGAGTAATTAAAGGTATAATGCTCAATAAAAATAACAGACTTCGAATTGCTCCTACTTTTGCAGAGAGTTGTTGTTAAGACTGCAAAAGAAAGTGCAATAACTACGAAAATTAAAGTAGATAGATTATTATTTAAATAGTTTCTTATTATATTTAAAGAATAGTTCTAGTCTTAAATAGGTACATATACATATATAAATAATACTTAAATATATCCATATTAGTATGTAAATTATATCAAATTATATAGACTAAGTACCTAATTATTGGTACAAAACATTTTTAGAAAGCTTTCAAATAAAGTACTTATCGATTTTAATAAAGAATTACTTTAATTAATTATCATAAAAAATGAAGCCTTTCTTTTTAACCTTTCTGAAAATGTTATTTTAAAATTGATTTAATGTATGAACCAGGTGTACAGTATGCACAAAGTTATTCTGTACTCAGTTGACAATTGTATTTCTTCCAGATGTACCTAAACCACCTTATAGACATACCTAAATTTACACAATTGTAATCTAAAATTGTTAAAAGTTTTCCTAAGGTACGTTGTAAGCTGTAAGAAATTTATTAGACCTGCACATTCATCAGCCACTTCCACTATTTTATATGACACTGATGTCAGCATTTTTTAATGTACTTCAACTACATTTTCCTAATCATCTTTATGTAGTAAAATATCAGAACATTAATTTATATGCTACTGTACATGAATTATGAAAAAAGTCACAAATGCACTATATATACTGAATATTTACAAATTGCGATATTTCTTATCTAAAGACTGTTCTAAAGCTAACACTACTTTAAAAACGTCACTAACTGTATACTTATGAATGTTCCTGTCAACGCACTTAGGGCTAGAAAATTATCTAAATAGTGCATTACCCAGTGCCTTTTATCCTTTGTACAACGTTAGCTAGCCAAAAAGCTGCATTTTCAACATATTGAATATTTTGGCCCTTTAAACAGCTAAATGTGATAACTAATTGGGAGGTGCATGGAAATAACATCTAGTCAAATAATTTAATTACTGTTTTCACACTCCGTCCATAATCATTGTTTTGGTGCCTCTTTTAATGGTAAAATCTATTCAGCCATAATAGACTCACAATTTTTAAGTTGATTTTCCTACTCTTCCTTGTTGATATGAAAATTAGGAGGTAAAAAAGACGAATGCAAATTTAAGGGAGATATATTTTTATACAGTATGATAAGGTATAACAAATACTGTAAAATTTGTATATTCAAATTATTCTCTTATAACATTGATGTGGACGTATTAGCAGCCCTTTCCTTTCTATATGGGAAATGTACATAATAAATGTCATTATTTGGTAAATATAGCTAGTAGAATTATTTATAAAGGCTTAGTTTAACTTTGCCGGTAATTAAATTTTTGTTATGGTGGCCGAACCGCGTTTACTTTTGTTTTAAAAACTTCGTATTACTAAGTACAGTAATATGTCATTGTTATTATTCGAACTTAAATTATTTTCTACTAAGATAAGATATCTAATGTAATCAGTTAAATAAATATTTCTAAAATATTTGTCCTTTCTTCATCCAACACCCACAATAATTTTTAACATTGTTTTAATTATTCACTCTCAATATTTAGAAAATTCAGTCAATATTTAATGTAAACGTAATGGAACTCCCATATATTAAATATTTTTACTTTCGCGGATCAAAAAGGATCACTTTTAACCACCTAGAGACATCTATGAGGTAGCGTTATAATTTATACAACAAACTATGAAGCTTTTTCATATTTAAAGATTTCTTCAATATTCTGATTCTATGAATTAAACATATTTCCATTGGTCGATGATAAACAAATGGACATTGGACGATAGTTAAAATAAATAAAGACAGAGATAGTTCAAACTATTCTCACTACACTTGTTCCACATTTTGACGCTTTCGCTATCGATGCAGATTCCTATTTGTTAATTAACAAGGAGATAAAATGAAAGCGGTAATTTTGAAACATATCAGTGTTCACTTGACCTTGTTTTTATTATATTAGAAGATAAATTAACACAGCATTATTATTTGAAATGCGAGCAGATTATGGCTCTCCAGTTACAGTCAGTCTTATTACGAAATTTAAATAGATGCATAAAACCTTGGAAAAAACGTTTTCATGTAAGTAAGGTTATATTTACCACACAAATATTTAAAATAATAATATTTTAGAATAAACCATATGTTAGGATAGTTGAAGTAGGTCCTAGAGACGGTCTTCAAAATGAACCTGTTAATGTTCCTACGAATATTAAAACAGAATTAATTAACAAACTTTCCGAAACTGGTCTCAGGACTATCGAAGTTACTAGGTAAGCGTTGCTACTAACATCTAAACGAATTTTGTGTGGCTGGTATTTATGTTTCAGCTTTGTAAGTCCAAAATGGGTACCTCAAATGGGGGACAATGTAGATGTTTACTCAGGGATTACAAAGAAAGATGACATCTCTTATCCAGTTCTAATTCCTAATTTAAAAGGATTGGAGTCTGCTGTAGGTGGTAGTAATAATAATTTAAATATATTTATATTATAAATGGCTATTCGTAGATGAAAGTTGGCGTACGAGAAATAGCTGTCTTTGCATCAGCGTCTGAAGGCTTTTCCCAAAAAAATACGAACTGTTCAATTCAAGAAGGAATAAATCGAATAAGGGATTTGGTTGTCGTAGCGAAAAGGGAAAATCTCAAAATACGAGGATATGTCTCATGTGTAGTTGGTTGCCCGTATGACGGACACATACAACCATCTTCCGTTACAAAAGTAACCGAGGCATTACTATCTCTTGGCTGTTACGAAATATCTCTTGGTGATACTATTGGGGTGGGAACGAGAAAAACTATAGAAAATATGATTATAGATCTCCTAAAAATTACAACACCTGAGAAATTAGCTATACATTGCCACGATACATATGGCCAGGCTTTGGTCAATATTTGTACTAGCCTTGAATATGGCATAAGAGTTGTAGACTCTTCTGTTTCAGGGCTAGGTGGTTGCCCTTATGCAAAGGGCGCCACTGGTAACGTTGCTACTGAAGACTTGATATATATGTTGAACGGTATGGGGATGGAGACAGGTGTTGATTTGAAAAAGCTCATAGAAGCTGGTAGATACATCACTGACTTTATTAAAAAGCCTTCAGCATCAAAAGTCAACAATGCACTATTTTCAAAGTACTTTAATTGAAACAGAATCTGTTTCACTACATTTTTTTACATTTGCATAATTTTATTGCTGTTTTATTCATTTAATGACTAGTGACTAGTCAAAAGAAATTATATTCACTGCAGTTCCTCATGTTACATAAAATAAAACCTTTAATAAAATAATGATAAACTGTGTCTTTTTTTCTTTTAATCTAATTCTGGTCATTTTGCTTCTCCGGGGGCAATTGTTATAGAAATAAGATCAGTTTTAATAAAGTAATTATTTTTGATAATTATGACGTCACCGTTACATCGGTCAGGGTGCAGTGTGGTGGAAATTGGGTTAAGATTTTTAAACTGTGGAAGATGGTTTGAGACCATGCTAGAAAAGGGCAAGTGACTGTTGCTTTAGGAACGTGAAGCAAGGAGAAATAAGGTTTATTGGTCTTTTATATCGCAGTTACGAACCTTCCTATGATTTGTTTTGACCCTTAAAAATGGCAGTTCGACATAACATTCCCATGGAATGTCACAGAAACGGTGATAAATAAATTGATACTATATCGTTGACGTAGTTATGTTTTGTTTGGTTTAGTAGTTTTGAGTGTTAAATAATAAAAGGTATGATACTTCAACTTACGCCGTAGTTATCAAAAATCAATTACCTATAATGTGTTACATATAAGTTTTACTAATAGTATATGTGTCAGGTTCAATATGAGGATAAACGCTACAAGAATGACCACACCAATTGAAGAGAAAGTAGATCAGAAACTTAAAGTTAGAACAGGAATGGTAACAGTCAGTGATGGCAAAAGTAAACCAATACCTGTGCAACTCCATTTGTCCATGGAAGTGCTTCGACTTCAGAAGGAAGAACCGCTTCCCCCTGAATCGAAACCTTTAAATGCCAAAGTAAGGAAATATCGTAGTGTACTTAGATGTCTGTATACTGAATTAAAAAAATAGTGTCTTTCCATTTTTAAAACCATATACTAAACTGTGTTAGGTGTCTCCTTAATTACTTAATGCATGTATTCTTTTAATTGTATAGAATTTACGTCACCAAAAATATATATTCATATACCTACATATACTTATTTTTTTAACATAATTGAAATATGATATTTGGAAGAAAAAAGACGCAATAAAAATTTTCTTTCAAGTATACTTCTACATTTTTTTCTCTGAAAATTAAAGTGGTCATATTTCAGTAGCTTGTGACCCGTACTGTTTTTTAGGGCATGACTTCTGAGCCTAAATATGGAACCTTCACGATAAAATATTTTGAATGTTGCGAAATAAGAAACTAAAATAGTAGATGACTCTGATATTTCGAAAATATATGCATATAATTGCAAAATATTTATTTTCGTAATCAACTGATAGATATAAATGTTTTTTTATATTTTTTGCAAAATTAGTTTTTCTTCGTGGTGATAAATCTATTTAAATTTTAATTTGGTATTTCATTTTTCAAACCTCATAATTCTCTAAAATGAAAATTTTGTGAAAAATAAGAAAACACCTGTTTGTATCTATCAATTGATTCCTGATGAACATTAAATATGTTACAAGAGCAAAAATAATTAAAAATTAGTGTTAGCTATTTTTATAAATTATATTCTGGGCAGTTATTTTTTCTTTTATATTTTGATTCAAATTTTGAGACAAATTCTTAATAAATATTAAATCTACAAGGACAAAAATAATAAAAATTAGGTAGTAGACATTTTTATAAATATTCTGGGCGTGATTTATCATGTGTGCATTTCGATTCTAATTTTCAACAATAAAAAAAAAACATCAAAATATCAAGTCGATAATATTTTTTGGTAGGCCTTACTGTGGTCGTTATTTATATTTAGAAATTTATACACATTTTTCTGTTATGAATATAATTTTGATAAAATGTTGTCCATATTGTATTCTTAATAATTTCACATAATAACTTGTTATATACAAATGACATGGTTAAATACATGCCAATATACTTGGATTGACATTAATGTTTAATAGTTGTAACTTGTAAAGTACATACATCAATTTATATGATTGCTAATAAATACCTCCTAAATTTTGAAAAGATGTATTTTTTTTTACTTGAGAATACATTAAATACAACTTTTTTTATTGTACTGTGCTAATTAATATATTTTCATGTACACAAATAATTGTGTTTAAATATTATACCTGTATACTGATCAGAATTAATAAGTTTCAAATCAGTTTATGTCTGGTGGTTATACTGATGAACGATCTTAGCTGCATACAGGGTGTTACAAATTAGTAGGTCAACCCGTTAACCACATATTCTTTGGATTAAAATAATGGGAATTTTCTTATGTTAGTTTTCATTTCGGAGACCCATTTTAAAGTACAGGGTGTCAAAATTAAAAATGATTTTTATTGATAACTGATTGTAGAGAAATTTATTTGAAATTTAGCACATATTTTGCTCTTAAATCGGCACACATTTTGTGTAATTTTGATTTAAAATATCAAAGCGCAAACGGAGGAGAGGGGGTTGCAGTATCCATGGACCCCAATTTTTTTTTTTTTGAGCACGCCTATGCTTTCCGAATATTTTTTTTTTAGATAAAACGGCGTTTTATTTTTTTCACTTTTGTAAAATATTCATTTGGAGTCTCGTTTTTTTTTATATTTTTTAGATACGCGACATCGATTTAGTCAATGTTAGACTTTATGTTTTGGGGCTACATGAAAGATTTAAGTCGTCTTATTTATTTTAATTTACTGAATAAATGATCATCAGCATGATCAGCGATATTTAATTTCAGCTAAATTTAACATCTAAGAAAGTTGCAAATCTCATACAGCAAACCCCAAATCAAAATGTGCGGTTTGAGCCTAAAGTGCTCTTTACCGCGTACAATTCGTTTCTTTAACTGTTGTTTAGTTAGCATTGGTACCATATAAAAGAAATTTTTCATAAAATCCCAAAAATTAAAATCTAACGCCTACTAAATTGATGGCGTGCATCCAAAAAAGTTACAATATCTCGTAAACAAGGCCCCAAATAAAAATCTTACAAGAGTGAACAAAATTTATCTAAAAATAAATATTCGGAAAGCATAGGCATAGGCACTCAAAAAAATATAGGAGGTCCATGGGTGCTGCAACACCCCCCCCCCCCCTCCGTTCGCGCTTGAATATTTTAAACCAAAATTACATGAACAGTGATACCCTGTATTTTGAAAATGGGACTCCGAAATGAAAAGTGGCATAAGAAAAGTTCCATTATTTTAGTCCAGAATATGTGGTTAATTGCTTGACCTACTAATTTATAACACCCCGTATATTAATTCAATGCAGGTCAGGGTTTTATCTATGCTGTTTCACAGAATGTTATCAGTGAAATCCGGTGTTAATTACTTTTATTTTTCAATTACTTCAGGAAAGAATGGTCCAGGTAAGAAGACAAAAAGTTGGGGGATTAGGTTTGAGCATTAAAGGGGGAGCAGAACATAAGCTGCCTATATTGATTTCTAGAATATATAAAAGTCAAGCAGCAGACCAAACAGGAGAGTTGTTTGTTGGTGATGCCATTATTAAAGGTATTCGTCTTAAATACAGGCGTTTCAATAAATTTTTTCAACTTGGTACGTTAATAAAATGTTTTTATTTACTATTTGCAGTGAATGGAGAATATATCACTGCATGTCCACATGACGATGCTGTAAACATACTACGCAATGCTGGCGATTTAGTTGTTCTTACTGTCAAGCATTACAAAGCTGCAACACCATTTCTACAAAAACAAGGTAAATTTGAAACACGACTACACGACTTTAGAAAATGCAAACTTGATTTGTTTTGAAAATTGCAGAAGACAAGGACTCTCAACAGACGGACAGTAACAGCGATGAAAAAGGCGCGTCTGATGAAAGCTTACGTGTTATGACGAACAGCACAAGCAGCAGACCAAGTTCGATTTCCTCAGAACCTGAACCCGAAATACAAACTCACTGGGTTGATATTATCACTGTACCTTTAATGATGGCGTATGTGACGAGGTATATTTTTGGTACGGATAAATTGAGGCCTAATGCCTTCGAGGTGCGTGGACTGAACGGCGTCAGCACCGGGATTATACATTGCGATGATTCAGCTATTCTCTCTCAGTGGCTTAAATATATTACCGACAATATCATTGGACTGACAAATTTACAGGTATCGAGTGTATCTGTGCTGATATTTAAAATACCATGGTTTGTCGGGTTGTTCTCGGGCTAGGCTCTATGGGAACCCCAAACACCACGGTATTTTAATCATCAACTATAATTATGTCATTTTTTAGATGAAATTGTACAATCGAAACTTTAGCGTGTCCGATCGAATAGAATACATGGGTTGGGTCAATGAAGGTGTTTTGAATAATAATCAGCCTTGGCAGAACTACAAGCCGAGATTTTTTGCTTTGAAGGGGACCGACTTGATGCTTTTCGATTCTCCACCTGTAAGTACCGATATCGGATAAAATTCTCGACGCGATTTTTAACTAAAAATTAAATTTCTCTTTAAGCTAAACGTGATGGACTGGAGCAAGTGCTCGTTAATGTTCAAAGTATACCAAACGATGTTCCGCGTAGTGAAGGAATCTGAAAATGTGGATGAACGTCAACACTGCTTCCTAGTACAAACATCGGGACAAGACTCGCGTTATTTTTCCGTCGAAACAAGACAGGAACTGTTAAGGATTGAAAATGCTTGGCATTGCTCCGTTTGCACCGCCGTTATGAAATTGGGAGTAAGTAGCATCGATTTTAAACGCTCGCATTGTTAATTATTATGTTCTCGCAGAACAAAACATTCACAGTTAGCAGCAATGGGAAAACTGCCGGACTGACGTTGGATTGGAACTTGGGCTTTTCTTTACACGAGGGCGACTTGAAAACTCCCGTTTGGCAATACAAATTTTCCCAACTCAGGGGCTCTTCGGATGATGGAAAATCCAAGCTTAAGCTACACTTCCAAGACATTGAATCGAAAGCTATCGAAACGAAGGTGAGTAGTTTTACGCGTACGAAGTACGATTTATGTAACAGTTTTGTTTTAGGAACTAGAGTGTTCCATTTTGCAAAGTTTGTTGTTCTGTATGCATGCCTTCTTAACTGCTAAAGTGGCATCGGTTGATCCAGGATTCTTATGTTCAATGATACCATAGACTTAGAGAAATAATAGTACTGATTTTGTAAGTATTAATACTCAGTCGAAGGAAGGATTATAGTATTAGTACCATTTGACTTAGATTTTGTAAGAAATAGTTCCATTTACAGGACTTACACATTCCTTTTACACTTTACACTAATTTTTGTAGTTAAATGTTTATTTTTTTGTCTTACAAGTTTTAGGAATTCACATCTTGCGTTAGGAATCCGTTCAGTTTTTTCACGAATATTGTTCTGGGAAAATAATATTTCTGTAACTGGATTTATTTTCATGTAAACATGAAGTATGATTCTAAGTAAATGTATAGTAGAATAAAATGCACATTGTCTGCGAAGCACTAAAATCATTTAGTTCGGTACAGGGTGTTGTATATGAATTAGAGATGGGCACTTTTCAGAAAAGTGTGTTACGGACATGTCGATGAATTGTCCAGACATGTCGGGAAAAGTACTTTTGACCTTCAATTTAATAAGGCACCTATGAGTCACACAAAGCAAAATATTACTCTTACTCTAATGAATATGTGTCGATATATTTTACTTATTACTACCTTTAGACTTTTTTATAAACAAGTTTCTAATTTTCCGTGGACAGCCAATACACTTATTTAAATGTTTTTCCATCCTACTGGAATTCTTAAAAATTGTTTTTGAGCAGAAGTTACATTTATAATGATTTTTACTTAATTCAGAAAAATATAACCAAACTGTTGATTTTAGTGTCATACTTACATTTATAAACTATTTGTGTATTAAATATTAAATTAAGAATCAACTAACTGATTACTATTTACTAATCGTTAACTTTGCCAAAAATAATAAAATATGGACATATAAACGATGTTCTATTTTTAAAATGTCGGTTTCAGTTAAACAATTACCAATGAAATTACAAGAAAATGGCTAAATATTTTGAATTTTACATGTACCAACCTCAAAAATTTTTGCTGGAATTGCATACAACTTTTCAATCTTGAAAAGTGTCCTCAGGACATGTCCACTTTTGACGACATGTCCAGCTGACATGTCCACGGCACATCTCTAATATGAATAGAACATAAATCAGGTGCGAAGATTTTTTTCGTAACTTTATCTTAAGGAATTTTGAAATACCGAAAAAAATATGTTGAGACTGACAGTCATTAAAATTTTCTTGTTTCGTAATGACTTAGAAATGAGTGCAATGTATACCTTTGCACTATTGTTGATTTTTTAATGTGCCTTTATAACCGATTATATTTATATTGATTATGAAACATAACTCCCAACTTTTAACACCATACTTCCAGTGCAGTCACACTTCAATACACTTATGTAATAGCCTTACGATTTTAGCAAAACTTTTTAGATACTACTCTGTTACGTGTATGTATGTATATATATCTTTTCCCAACATAAGGCTGTGGCATAAGCAATACAAAGTAAGTTGAAGTTATTGTATAAACAAATCTCGTGCAACACCCTGTAGATAGGTAAAGAAATGTTCCTTATGATAACCTTACTAGGTAGAAGATGAGAAAAAAATATTAGAGTAAGGTTTTATTAATTAATTCTGTATTTCAAGAAAATACTTAATTATTTAACATTAAAATGTGTTTATTGGGTTAAATTGACCCTGTGTTGACATTATTTGATTTTTCCGGTTAACAAGAGGAAAAGTTCTGTGTTATTAAATATTTGTTATCGGCATTGTTAGCGATTTGATCTTTAACCCCCTATAATTATATAATATAGTTAACCTCGTGATGTCGATCTTAAATCGACTATACCCAATAGGTAGAATTTGTTTTTCCCTTACGAAGAACAAAATCACACTAACTTCCACTAATGTTAAAATGTGTTTAAGTGTTTTGTATGAGATACAAAATTAGTGAAATATTATACATATATATCTGATATTTCAGACAGCACAATTGTGAATTAGGCTGAATCGAATGTAGTTCGTAAGATACAATGCACTTTTTCTGTTGTTATTGGAACTGTTTTAGTAGAACTGTAGGGGTTAGAAATAATGAGATACTATATACGGAGTGTACAAGAACAGTAGTTTAACATTCTTTTTTCATTATTGAAAAAATACATTCCGACATTACATAACTTGGCCGCTCTGTATATATAAAAAACTGTTTGTGTCTGAAAATGATCTGGTCTTTCTGGGGAAAGTGGAACAGTTAATGACTGTCCATAGCAGTTATCTGTTAGTTAGTTGGGGGTCATTTTATTCCAAGTGAGGAACTCGGGGTTAGAACGACCCTATGTCCAAAGGTAGAAAGTAACATTTCCATTTAGGATCGACGGATTTTAACCATCTTACTGTATTCAAAATTGAAGTTAATTGAGGTAGTTTTGAAATATATTTGTAGGGAGTCTACAAAGTTAAACTGATGTCTGAATAGCTCGTTATATCATAATAGATAGTAGTGTATATCATATCATCTCTTGAAACAATTTCGGATAAGTCAATGATGCATTTGTTCAATTAAGAAAATATCGAGCAATAAGTGTACTAAAATATTGTAACTTATTGTATTCTTTAATGTTTCTAGGTTTTGAACCAAAGTTATCTAAAAATATTGTTGTAACAGCCACAAAAAAAAAGTTGTCTGTACTTTTCATGGCACATATGTTATCCGTAGTATTTTTGCCTCCTGATCACGAATCCAGTGTCAGAATTGAGCTATCACATCACAGGAATTTCCTAACCTCAAAAAACATGTCAAAAATAGCAAAAATTCACGAAAAAGTGCTAGGAAAAATACAAAAAAAATGTTTTCTATATTCAAAAGTTCATTTATATGGTTAAGACCGGGGTCGCTGATCACGGATCCGAGATCAATTTTGTAAAATTCAAGATGGCGGATCGAAGATGGACGACCAAATTTTCCAAAAATAACAGATTCGCGCCAAATTTGGTATAAGGAGGTTTTCGGGGTCGCTGATCACAAATTCGAGGTCAATTATGCAAAATTCAAGATGGCGGATCCAAGATGGCCGGCCAAATTGTGAAAAAATAACATATTCGCGCAAAATTTTGTAGACGTGGTTTTCGGGGTCACTGATCACGAATCCGAGATCAGATTTACAAAATTCGTTTGTAAAAATTTAATCAATACTTTATTACCTGAGATTAGGCAGAAAACCCGTGAATAGATCTTTTACAGAAAAAATAAGAAGATATAGCCGAAAAAAGAAGGTTAAAACATGATTGAATACTCAGGTTATAAAGTAAACCAAAATATTACCAAATGAATTTCGCAATTCTGACCTCGAATACGTAATCAGCGACCCCGAAACCCCCGTATACCAAATTTGGCTCGAATCTGTTATTTTTTGAAAATTCGCGATATCTGACCTTAATTAACCCGTTTTTTTGAGGTTAGAAAAAGAACCATCAATTCTGACCGCGGATTCATGTTCGACGGGGTCTTAACCATATAAATGAACATTTGAATATAGAAAAAAAATGTGTATTTTTCCTAGCACTTTTTCGTGAATTTTTGCTATTTTTGACCTGTTTTTTGAGGTTAGGAAATTTCTGTGATGTGATAGCTCAATTCTGACACCAGATTCGTGATCAGGAGGCAAAAATACTTCGGAAAACATTATGTCGCATGAAAAAGTACAGACAACTTTTTTTTATGTGGCTGTGTTATTGTTGGTACATTTCATCATAATTTAGACTTAACAAATTGTTGATAGTTTAAAAATGGAATTTTTTGATTTTTTATTTTTAACAATATAGAATATAAGTATCTAGTTTTCCATATTTTTTTGTCTACCACATGGTTCTCAGGCGAACCCACTCTGTATTACTCACTTAAAGTGTTAATAAGCAAAAAATTCCATGACTAGTCTATCCGTAATTTATGTGATTTAAATATATTTATCGTTGAGTAGTTGTTATAAAATTCGAATAAATCTTATGAAATATATAAGTGAAATATAAGTTAGCTTTTGCTTACAGTTCAGAACAATAGGTTAGTGCAGGTAATATGGTTGTGACTATCTCTATCCCTTGTTTGAAAATCACCAACTGCATATAGCGCTCTCAAAGGGAATTTATCACTTTCTGCAAGAATGTTTAAAATTATGTGGATCTTCCGTGGATTACACAAAATCTCGGCACCAAGTGATAACTTCCCTCATTACAGAAGTTGGGTTTATGATTTTTGCCCACTAATGTAATGTAAATTTGGGTTTATTTAGAATATTTGCATTTAAAGACCAAATAGTACATTCTTCAATTAAAAGTATAGTTATTACTCGTTGACAATATAAATAAATTTATTTAGTACCTTAAATTGGTTTTATTTTTCCTTCTGAAAACCAGTAAAAAAAATGCTCTACATATTTTTATTATATCCATTAAGGATTGATTATAAAAGGTGTTAACGAAATAAGTACTCAAAATTTGAGAGTATGTAAAACATGTCGAAATATGATGAAAACCTTAGTAGAGTTTTTGTCAGTGGCGGCCCCTAAGGGAGATACAGCCCCTTGAAGGGGTAACTTGGGAAACAGTTTTTATTGCATAACTTCAAAACGGTCTAACTTTCCTCCATTCTAACGCAGATTTTCTATAAAATGGAGTTAGTCCGAAACTCAAATTACTTTTTGTTGTAAAGAAATTTGTAATTCGCCGCTTTTGAACAAACGCCATCGTAATAAATTATAAATTTCTTTACACCAAAAATTTATTCGAGTTTCAAACTAAGTCCATTTTATAGAAACTCTGCGTTGAAATGGGGGAAAATCTGTTATTTGCGCATTAATTCATATTTAGACAAACTCTAGTAAAATCTATAAAAATGTATTGCTGGTTGCCTACTCTTAACTACAATCAATAACCTATACAAAATAGCAGCCACCTAGGGATGGTTACCCTAAACTGTAACTGATTGTAGTGTGGATCAACTGGAATATCTAATGTTACATGTTACACTGAAGCCATAAACAAGGCTAGTTGGGACTTATTTAAGTTCAGTTCCTATGCAAGCATAAAGGACTGGTACTAGAAATGGAAATGATCTTTGGAAAAGGTATCTGTTTGGAGCTGGATCCTCATGGATCAATTTCTCGGATCAGCCATCTGTTATACAAAATATTATTTTCAAATCAAACTCAATTATCCTTTCAGTTAACCGATATGTCTAGTAATCAATAAAAGGAAATTAATAATCATGATAACTACAATCAATGATCTTTACCGTACAGAGCAGCCATCTGTAGTACAAATTATTTTGTACCTGTACGAGAGATGGCGCTACTGACGATGAGTTCGATTTTTTACACAGGAAATTATATAAGTTAAACTGTCAGAAAACGGTTTTATAAAACTATAACGTCACTTTTTGTGCACTAACTAATTTAACGATTTAAGAATTAATTCTGAAAATGTAAGTAAAAAGGTTTATAATTAAGGTATGTTAAAATTAATTTTGAATTAAAACATGGGTAAAATTATTATAAATTATACATTAAAAATAATTTTCTTTTATAATTAAGTTTTTATTTGATACTATTATTGGACACATCTTATTCATAACAAAAAAACTATTATTAAAGTAAAAATGGTAACAAATTGGTTATTTTTAAAGTTTTTTCCTACTTAATCGTGACGAAAATAAGATATTTAAAAAATAAGCAAGATGTTCCGTATTAAAATTTTGCTGAAAATTTATTCGCGGGTACTCCATAACATCCCATTGTAGGTAGGCGCTCTGATGCCCTTAATAAAGTTTTGCTTGGTTTAGGAGTAAAATCTTAAATTAAAATCTTTTGTGTCGGCCCCTTAAATCATAAT